GTTGAAAAAAAAATTATTTAATGTCTGACGAAATACGTAATAGGTAATAAAACAAATTCCAAATTAGGGCTCCCATGCCTATATTCTGAGGATTACGTTATTCAAAATTTGATGACTCTAAGTACCGTTGTTTTATCACAATGCGAGAAACATATACATACATTTATGCAGAATTCTTCATCATTTAATTTCTTTAAACATAATACAGGGCTGTAATATTTGGTGGCAACAATTTAAAAAGTGAATCAAACGCAAAAGGCCAAAACGAAATTAATAACCCTTCTGAGCTAAACTTGGGCTAAAAACGGGAAAAAAAAAAGAAGAAAATGATACTAGGGTCAAGGCAATTATGATAACGAAGCTGTATCAGCACGTCTTCGCTTCGAATACAATCCGAAAATCTCCATCAGGAAAACTTTACCTGTAAAAGGCCACAGTGGTGCCATCTATTAGCAAGATACAATGTTACTCTACAATTCGCAGTCGGAGTGAATAGTGTAAGTATATTTGGACACAATGTCGTAAATAGCTTTCCAAGTGCATTGCGTAAAATTTTGTACTTGAACATACTTATGGAGAGGAAGAGCGACTAATAATAAAACATATACGATATAATAAATCTCAATAATGTTTGTTTGCACAAGAATTATATAACCTATTTCTTTTTGCTAATGAATTCCAACTTAGTTTGAATAAGAATGAATTTAAGTTATTTGCAAATACATTCAGATATATTGATGATATTATAATTTTCAATAACAATTCTGCTTTTGAACATTTTAAAATTTACCCAGTTAGTTTAACACTTAGTATGTTGAATTGAATTTTATGCTTCAAGTGCAAAGATTATGATTTAATAATCTAATACGAATTAAGGTAATGTTACCTGCTCATGATTAAACACAACAAAATTAAATTATATGATAAAAGGAGGATATTCCAGTTTGAAACTATTAAACTAATTAATTGAAACTCTAATATCTCTAAAACTGTAATAGGTAACACTTTTTATAGCCAAATACTTAGAATTAAAAATATATGTACTGAAATAGAAGATTTAAAGGAAGAAGTAATAAAACAAATTATTGTTCAAGTTAATAACCAGGTCCCAAAACCTTTTATTAAAATTGTATATTAAAAAGGCAGGCATTAACTTTTCTTTTTAATTTTTTAACTCTTTATGGTATGATAATATTACCTTAATCCTTAACTGTAGGGTAATGGAGAATTTTGAAGAATTAAGGGATTACTTGTAAATATTAATTACTTATTAATTAATTTTGTAAATATGTATATACTGGATTCTTTCCTTTTATAATGAAGGGCCAGCTCTTTTCAAAAGTCTCAATTATAGCCTGAACTGAGTGAAGATTTTTATCTATTTTTTCTAATGTTTCTTACCTTTGGCCAGTATTTAGTTCAAGTTTTGATTAAACTTGTAACTTATGTTTTAAATAATGCAGTCTAATACAAAAAATTCTTTATTATTTTAATTCTCTATTATTTCATTTATTACATTGTAATTCTAATTCAAATTAAATTAAATTAATTTTAATTTTATTAAATTTACTCAATTAAAATGTTTATTCGAACTTTTAAAATTTAATTTTAATTTTACAAAAAAAATTTTAACATTTTTCAAAAACTTTTGCATCTTTAGTAGTTTGCAGCATCTATTTTCACAAACAGTAGCAATTCACAATTTTTACTTTTTCACATATTTTAACAATGCCTCAAAGCTAGCAACATTTTTGCACACAAAACAAACATTTTTCATTTTACATTATTAAAGTTTACATTATAGGTTTTTACAATAGCTCTCACAGGTAGCAGCTTTATACTCAACTTTACATTGTATTAGTGCCCTTCATTTATACAGTTAGCAATAACAAACTACTCAGCTTCACCTAGTTTAGCAAATGCTAGTCCAACTCAGGAATTAAAGTATGCAGTACTAGGTAAGTTAAATTAAAACTTTCTAATTACTGGCCTTTTTATTATTTTTTTAATATTTTGAGAGATTGTATATAGTTTATTTTAGGTTTACATGCATAATTCGTGTAGGGGAAGTTTTCTGTAGGCAAGAGTTTTTAAATTACTTTGGTTTTCAAAAAAAATTTGGTTTTCTACTCTTAATTGACATTTAATTAATTTTAATTCTAGTCATTTGCTTTCTAGTTTCTCAAAATTCCACTAGGTCAAATTTCTTTTTAATAATTTATTGGTTTTACTTTTGGTTTTGAATTTTTACTTTTACTTTTACCCTTGTCTATATGGATGACAAAACACGAATTGAGTAATTGAAGAGTTAAGTTTGGAGGCAACATCCCCTTGATAAAATCTGACTCCTGCCTGCTCAACAATTATTCACTTATGCAATTTAATTTTTTAAATAATATATTTATTCATGGTTTTAGATACGTGCACTTAATTTACACATGCTCTTAGAATTTAAATGATATTGTAAAATAGTTCGCAGCAATATTTTTTTTATTTTCGCAATTAAAATTTCTTATTTAAATTTTAATTTTATATTAATTTTATACGAATAGAGAATATTTGTTAAATTCAAATTATTCGCATATATATTTACAAATTACTAGCTGCGTTCTCAACGTTGCTTAGGCTTTAGATGAATAAAAGCTGATTGTAGTTAACCCAGCATTCTTAAAAAGTTAAAAAAACAGACTAAATGCAATATATACATTGTATTACATTGCATATATACATATAAACATCCGCGAGCTTGAGAGAAAATGCGCTTATCAAACTAAATTAAAAAGCATTGCAGCAATCTTACTGAGTTAATTCAAAAAAGGCTTCAACTACTCTAAAAATTTACAGAATGTTCTAAAAACTTTACATGTACGAAGATCTTATAGCTATGTCAAACTATAATTTTAGAAAACGTATATCCTTAAAAGTTCCTCCTTTTTCACATAAAAATTAAATAATTCTTCTTAAACATTATTAAAAATAATCTTTCAATTATCTATAAAATATTCATATTCATTATGGTCATATATTTTCTATGCGCAAAAATCTTTTTTTTTTTTTTTTTTTTTTTTTTAAAGAATTCCTTCTTGAAAACTAAAATTGTTTTTGTAAATAGGAACGTGCATGAGGGTCTTTAGAGACGCAGAAACAAAATCAATATGCAGTTGCAAAAGAATTCGTCACAACCTCTGCGATTGCCATTTATCAATCGCTTTTATAAACTTTGAAACTGCCATTCATCGATCATTTAAAATTTTAATATATTTTTATCCACCTAGCTTTTAATTGTTGTCAATTTTCTTTCAAACTCTTCAAAATAAAAATATAAATTAAATAATAATTCCAAAATGCATATTTCATAGTTTGTTGTTTATATGGTAAAATTATCCAAATAATTTTCTTGTAGGTCATATTTGCCACACTCACTTTGTTACAACTCGAACGCGAAATGAGCGAAAGTTTCTCTTCTACCTGTGGCAACGAGGAGTCGAAAAACGAACTTGGAGGAGAGCGGTCGCTCACTCGTTTTTCTCTCGCTAGAATTTGATACGAATCCCCATCTTTTGATTTGAAATTAATCTCGAATTATGTATATATTGTAATATAAAAGATGTGTGTAAATAAAAGTCATTAAGACTTAATTGAAGTAGTGATTTGAATCGAATATACAAATCGAAAGCTCTCCCAAATAGAACTATGGATTCTATAGAAATGACATATTTTAGTGGTGCCTTCACCAAGGGACTTTTGGATTAGAATTTCGAAGATTAGCAGATGAATTACCTGTAAACAGGTAAGCAATTCCTTTTTCTTTGAAAATTTGAAAAAAAAAAAAAACTGAGTTTCAATATTGTGATTAATCAATTTTAAACATGGAAGCTTTAGACAATCTGAAGCAGAAACGTACGAATGAACGCAGTAGCGTTACGAAATTAATTACAAAAGCAGAATCTTTGTTATCAGAAAATATCGAAAACACAAACATTGAGGAATTGCAGGAGATGAATTAAACAATTCTCGAAAGAGAAAACACGTTGAAAATGTTGAATTCACAAATCGAAACTCAGTTAAGAGATGCTAAAGAATTTGAAAAATATATTTCTGCAAGTGATAAATACAATGAACAAATTATGTCTGCAAAGTTTAAATTTAAAATAAAATTAAATAAATGTAATGAAAATTTGTCTGTGGAAAATGCATCAGATGCAAATTCTTTGAACACTTCTGTTTCTGAAATAAATGTATCGTCATCGGCTATGAAATTGCCAAAGTTAAATATTCCAAAATTCTCAGGAGATGCAGGAAAATGGTTAGAATTTTTTAACAGTTTTCAAGCTGCGATTGATCATAACAAAGCGTTAAGCAAGATTGAAATATTCGTATACTTGAAATCATTATTGATAGGGCAAGCATATAATGTCGTTGAAGGATTTCAGTTAACCGAACACAATTACGATTTCGTGCTTAGAACTTTTAAAAGAACGCTTTGGAAAAACCAGAGAAAATTATAAAATCACATATGAATAATCTTTTGGACATAGAACCAGTTAAAAATTCTTCTAACTTAAATGCACTAAGAAGATTATACACGACGCTTGTGAAATAAACATTCGAAGCTTAAGTAATTTAGGAGTAACTTCAGGTTCGTACGGACACTTGTTAAATCCGATATTATTGAAATTATTGCCTCATGATTTGATTCTCGAATATCATCGAAAGCGTGATCCAAAAGAGAATCTGATGTTACAGGTTTAATTGCTTTTTTGAAAAACGAAATTGAATGCCGCGAACAAACGTACGCAGTTAACAAACCGGAACCGAAACTCGTTCCATTGAATGGAAAGAATAAACACTTCGACAAACACAAAAGTAATTATAAATACACAAACAATAAGTTAAACTCTAAAGTTAACCCCTCGTCGGCGGCAGAATTATTAGCTCCTGTAAAAGAAGAAAACTGTATTTTTTGCAAAAATAACACACATAATAGTGAAAAGTGTAATATGAGTGTAAATGAAAAACGAAATATACTGAGAGTACAAGGTCGATGTTATGTTTGTATGGCTCAAGGCCATCGATTTTCTGATTGTTCTGAGAAAAACTCTTGTGTATACTGCCACAGAAAACATAATGCAACCCTTTGTTACAAAAATGAGAAAAACGCCGAAGCATCGCACACAAAAGGTGTAGAAAATTCAGCTTGCAGTCATATTAGCATCGGTAGGAATAAAATATTTTTACAGACGGCGACAATAGAACTTAAAAGTAGGTCACGTAATAAATTAGTTCGTTGTTTATTTGACAGCGCTAGTCAACGCTCGTATATTCAGAAACGTCTGTCTAAACAATTGGAATTAAAAGTCGTGAGAAGGAAAGAAATAATGATTCATACTTTCGGATCTCAAGTACCTACCAAACAGAACTGTGTGCGAGTAGAAGTAAAAATAAAAAACATTTTCGATAACCAGGAATTAATTATTCAGGTTTTAGAGACTGATGAAATATCGAGTGCTGAGCTAGACTATCCTCCGGAAAATATTAGGGAGTTGTTAAAAGATAGGGGAATAATTTTAGCAGATGTTGATCACAAATCTTTAGATAACAACAACGTATCCTTACTCATTGGAGCTGATGATTATTGGAAATTAGTAAAAGACAAAATTGAATGTTTGAACTCAACATTAGTTACAATGGAAACTAAAATGGGTTGGATTTTAATGGGAAAATTATCTGATCATATCGACGATAAGGAAAATGTGACTAATGCCGTCGCAGTGACTTCTTTATTAATTCACACATCGAAGATTGAAAATTTGTGGAAATTAGATTTATTGGGTATTCGAGACCCTGTTGAAACAAAATGTAGAAAGGAAAGGAAATTGCCGCATTGAATCATTTTAACAAAACTGTTACCTTTAAAGAGGGAAGATATGAAGTTCCGTTGCCTTGGGTAATAGAAAAGGTCTGTTTTGACTGTCTCATCATATCAAGTAGTTTGAAGTCAAAATTTCGGTATTGCTAGACAGCGTTTAAACAGTACGACACACCGGTCGATACAAAAGGGCAAATTCGAGGATTACGAAAATGTTTTCACAGATTGGTTAAATGAAGGAATTATAGAAGAAGTCCCTGAACACGAAATGAATAATCAGTGTCACTGTTTAGCACATAAAGGGGGATTCGAAGAAACTTCGACCACGAAATTGCGACCGGTTTTTGATGCTTCCTGTAAAGACAAAAATTCGCGCTCACTTAATGATTGTCTAGAAAAGGGTCCAAATTTGCTGGAACAAATTATTCCTATAATTTTAAGATTTCGCAAGAATAGAATAGGAGTTATTTCAGACATAAGAAGGGCTTTTTTGCAAATGTCAGTGAATAAGAGTGATCGAGATTTCTTACGATTTTTATGGTGGAAAGACTTTGACAAGGAGGAACTTAGAGTTTTTAGACATAAACGCGTTGTTTTTGGATTGAATTGCAGTCCCTTTTTTATTGGCTGCTGTATTAAGCCATCACATTGATCTAAATTCGTCTAAATATCCTGAAACAGCGGAAAATTTAAAAGAATCATTCTACGTAGATAATTGCATCACATCTGTTCCTGATGAAGAAGACACTTACGTGATTCATCGAGGAATCGAAACAAGATATTAGATTCTGCGTCATTCGATTTCAGAGGGTGGGATAACACACTTCTCTTTTGAAATCTGAAGACAGTATAGAACCTACTCCTGTGTTGGGAATTTTATGGGATAAGGAAGATGATAGCCTTTTCTGTGAGGTGAAGACTGCTACTGACAAACCAGTGAATCTTACTAGAAGAAAATATATTGTCTGCAGGTACATCGCATTTTCGAGACCCCATGGGTTTTCTTCTGCCCGATAACGCTAACTAACACCTAAACTACTCATACAAAAGACATGGTTGTTAAAATTGGTTGGGATACAAATATACCCGAAGACTTAGGAAAAGAGTTCTATTCGTGGATTGATGATTTGTCACTTTTATCCAGTATTAGAATTCCAAGGGCTTTAGATATAAATGGAAATGAAAAGTCTTAGTCTTCATACATTCTGTGACGTAAGAAAACAAGCCTATGGATGTGTGATTTATTTAAGAAAAGAAACAAGTGAAAAATGTATCGGTTGTATTTTCTTCTAGCGTAAAAGTAGAGTGAGTCCATTAAGAAAAATGACCATAAATCGTCTAGAATTATTATCCTGCTGTATAGGGAGTCAGACTCGCAGCTCTTGCTTTACAAACACTCAAATTAGACAACATTCCATAGGAACTATTGGACAGATTCGAGTACTGCTCTTTCTTGGATCCAAAGAGATGACCATTGGGCGCCATTTGTCGCAAATACAGCAAAAGAGATACAAAATTGTCATCGGAATCTGAATGGCGTCACATTCCAGGAAATTCGAATCCAGCAGATATACCATCACGAGGGTGTTTGATTAAGAGTTTTGTGAAATCTCGCTGGTGGCAAGGGCCAGAATGGCTTATGAAGAGCGATGAAGAGTGGCCAACTAGTGAAGTGATTACTAACGAAGAAGAAATTATGAAAGAAAAGCGAAAGAACATTATTTCGACTTTGGCCAATATCACCGCTGAAAAATGGTATCTGATTTACTTTTCAAGTTACTTTAAAATTGTGAGAATGATTTCTTGGATTCTAAGATTCATAAATAATTGTAGACATGGAGGAAGAAATTATGGCAAAACCCTGAGTGTTGAAGAATTGAACATTGCTGAGAAGAAATTAGTGAAGATCGTTCAACAAGAAGCATTCTCTAGTGAAGAACAGTTGAAGGGACATTTTACTTTCAGAGATGAAGAAGGGATTATAAGATTGAAAACGAAGATTTTGAGAAGACATGATGATGAAAACTTCCGGTGCCCCATTGTACTTCCATCCAAACATGAATTAGTAGAAAGAATGATACAAGACTACCATTTACAACTTTTACATGCTGGTACTCAAGTTCTTTTGACCAATATTCGTCAAAAATTTTGGATAATAAAAGGAAGAAAAACAGTACAAGGAGTCATATCGAAGTGCGTTCGGTGCAAGAGACACTCGGCGAAAGCTCTTGATACAGTGCCTTGTCCTCTCCCAGAAGATCGAGTCAGAGATGCTTATGCATTTGAGGTGACAGGTATTGATGTAGCAGGACCACTTTGTATTTAAAAGAAAATAGAAAAGCTTGGATCTTGCTTTTTACTTGTAGAGTTTATCATGCGGTTCATTTAGAATTAATTGAAAGCTTATCAACTAATGGATTTTTTCTCGGATTTAGAAGATTCATAGCACGAAAAGGACGGCCTATAGTAGTATACAGCGATAATGGCACAAATTTTGTAGGGGCAAGGAATTTACTGTCCGATCTGTTGACTGGAACCAAATTATCAGAAGTTCTTCGACAAATGAAAATTCAAGTGGAAGTTAAATCCACCAACCTGCAGCATGGTGGGGCGGCTGGTGGAGAGACTGGTTCAGATGATCAAGAAATTATTGAGAAGAGTCCTGGGAAAAGCATTACTTTCATATGAAGAAATGTTAACTATCCTATGTGATGCAGAAGGCAAATATCAACTCCAGACCATTAACATACGAGAGTCAGAAGATTCCACCGATTTATGTGCACTCACTCCATCTATGTTTATTCAGGATGTGCGAACTGAAAGGTGTTCCGGATCTGGACAGTTTGGATAAAATCAACTTATTGAAAAGATGGCGATACCACCAAAAGTTACGTGGGGAATTTCGTAAAAGATTTAGAGATGAATATCTTGGTATGTTAGTACATCGACCAAAGATTGTACCTTCGCGAACCATCAAGAAAGGTGATTTAGTGTTTGTAGAGGACGATAAAAGGAAAAGAACAGACTGGCCTATGGGTCGTGTGATCGAAACATATCCAGGAAAAGACAACAACATCAGAGTGGTGAAATTAAAAGCATCTAGTGGTGAACTGTTAAGACCAGTTCAAAGAGTATTTCCAATGGAGATAGACAATAAAGAATCTATCTTCGAGCTGAAAACTACTGAATCATCCACATCTTCGAGAAATACTGGTAAAAGGAATGATTTAGTAATTGATACCAAAGACTGTGAACTTGAAAATTCTGATAAAAACATTCAGTTTTGTAGATATGGCAGAAAAATTGTGAAACCAAAGAACTTTAATTAGTTTAATTTTGTTTTCAGTACCATTATTATTTGTTTTCTTTATTCCTTTCTTTGAATTTAAATTTTGTATACAATTTGATTTTCCAGTTTAGTGAATTAATCTCTTTGCTAGTATTTTTCAGAAAAGAATTTTTTGCCTCTTGTTTAAAGAATGTAAGTTTGCAGAATATTAAGTAAGTTTAAAATATTCAAGATATTTGTTACGCCTAGATAAAATTGTTGATTTGGTAAGATTTAAATTACTCATCTTATATTCGTATTTCAATTTTCATTTCACAATTGTTTTGATTTTTTCATACTTTGTCAAAAATCAAAAGAAGCCATTTTTTAACAAATATACATATATATTTTCAGTACATGTTATAGAACTTGTAACAAATCCAGTTAGTATTACCGTATTTACTCGTATTTTGGGGGAAAATACGCAGTGTATAACTATTTCTGAAGAGACGGCTTAAATGATAAACTTAGCCTATTAAAAACATATGTAAAGACCCACAAATAACATTGCATTATGTACTTCAAAGGACTTACCAATTTCAATAACGTTCTGTTTACTTACACAAAATACTTTTCTATTTGTGCATAAACTTTTACATTGTTACCATAAATTAGAAGTTTCTAAATGACATGCTAAAATAAACTAGGGTAAATTATATGAAGGAGGAAAGTATGCGAGTTAACACGGCAATAAAAACAGAGTCCATGACACTCAGCCGACAGCCACTTAGTCGACGAGACACTTAGCCGATAGGAATTTAGCTGACACGGACACTTAGCCGACCGGTCATTTAGTAGATACAGACAGATAGCCGACAAAGACACTTAGCCGACAAGACATTTAGCACATACGGATAGTTAGTTGACAGGACATTTATCCAACAAGGACAGTTATCCAACAGGACATTTAGCCGACAAGGACACTTAGCCGACAGGACATTTAGCCGACACAGAGAGTTAGCCGTCAGGACATTTAGCTACGGGACATTTAACTGTTCAAACATTTAGTCAACAGGACACTAAGCCGACAGAGACGTTTAGCTGACATGTACTCAATAATTATTTAAACTTGCTATCAATTACAAAATTTCTCGACTTCTCCATAAGTACAATATTTAAGTCATTCTATTCAACTATCAGTAAATTTAATTTTTCGATTCTTAAAGATCTCATATATGCTTTTAATTCTTGTGTAATTTAACATTGTTTGATATGTGTAGTGCTGTTTGGGGTATATCGGCCAAATTAAAAAAGCGTTGAAATTTCTAGTCAGGTAATATGAATTAATTTTCGAAAGGAAAAAAAGATTTTTTTAGCGAAGTACGACGGTCACTTAGTTATATTTTAATATGGGATCTGCAAAAATTATTCGTAAATCGGAAATCATACTTTACTTGAAGCTCCGAACGGACTATAAAGTATTTACTCCCTCCTTTCTGCAGGCATTCGTGATGTAATTGAAAACTTACTTGACGCGTATTCGAGAGGCCCAGGGTTAGAATCCCAGCGAGAGAAATGGACATTTTTCACTCCGCCTGCTTCAGAATAATCTAATGACTTTAAAAGTGGTGCGCGAATTAAAAGGTAGTGGACAATAATTCGTCAGCACCAGGATTCGGCGATAGGGTCCCCTATCGCCAAATCCTGGATACTCTACTACGTAATTGAAAGGCTACACGACGTGCATTCAAGAGGTCCAGGGTTCGAGTCCAGGTGAGGGGATTGCGCATTTTCCCCCTCTCCTGCTTCAAAAGACCTAATGACTTTACAAGACTTTCATAAAAGTATATTATGAGATAATCCAGAACTTTTCAAAATTGGTATTTAAAATATATATAAGATTGAGAACAACATATTACATTTATGAGCATTAAGTGTATTCTTGGAATTATGCTAAATTCAAGGAGAATAAGCATATTATGAAGTGTTACTCATTACGAACTTTCGCTATGTAGCAATTAAATTTATTAGCTCAATTCTGTGCTCGTTTCATTTTTGTGCCGAATCACTTTTCAAAAAATCTGTTGTGTGATCCACATGACTTCCTTGTATGGAATATTAAATTATACCCATTTTTTCTTGCATTTCATTTAAACTTATTGGATTGAATTAAATCTACTTCGTCGATAGCGCATAAACCGCAACAGAATAAATGCATTCTTTAAAATTCACTATATTTGTTTACTATAGCGACACTCTGGCCTTAGGTTCACTTAACAGCGTTACATTTCGTTCATTTTTTTAGATCTTAGATCTTATCTTTACAGCTGGCATTACAAAGAGTTCTAACCAGTATCCTGAAAATTATAACTATTTAAACATTTGCTTCGTTTCAGAAACAATCAAAGATGTATTTCTAGTACATCGTCGCAAGAGGCGCGCTACGCTGGCGTGGAGGCAGTCAGAAGGGAAGTCATGTGATCTTGAGAAGGCACCTGGTTGGTCGACAACGAAATCAGCAAAATTCATTAAAAGTTCTTAATTTAACGAAACACTTAATATGTAATAAATTTATGTATTTTCCTTTAAAACATAGTCCATAGCGATGAGAGGGGGAAAACAAGATGCACTATTTACACAATAATATTTAAATGAACAAAAAATCTTCCCATTGAAAAACTTGAACTTGTAGGCGTGGCTTCTGAGAACCAATGCGATACTCAGAGTACGAAACAGAAAAACACTAAGTCCAGAGTGGAAAATTCTTGAGTAAATAAAGTATGCACAAACTAACAAGTTAAATTGCGCTATATACAAGATGATGTTTAAATGTGTGAAACTATAAAGTTGCAATTGTGGAATTGTAGTTAATCAAACTAGAATTCCAAATCAATATTCGTAAAATAGTCAAAAGCGGCTATGCCTACTGGGATTTTACTCATCAATGATTTTGCTGTTTTGAATTTCTTATTTATATGAGTTTTAATCCATGAAAAAAACTAAAGTTTCGTTTTCACTATCAGTGTTAAAATTATTTGTTGTCCAAGCTGATTTAGTTAGTTCATTTCAAAGGGTGGGGAAGTCAGTAGCTTTATATTGAAATCTACTGCGTTCTTCTGCTGCTTTATTGGCTTTTGCTGCAGCGATGGCTTTTTGAATGTTATTAGGGTGTTTTACACAACCTTTATAAATCGAAACGTGGTTTTCTGCACAAAGGGCACAGCATGCAGGTTTGTTGTCCTCTTTCTTTTGAGTACAGGTGTAAGTTTCGTGAGACTTTGCACATTTCATGCACCTCGCTGTATAATGACATAACTCCCTCGTATGGCCATAACGTTGGCATTTATGACGTTGTACGGGGCCCTTTTTTGATTTGTAAGAGGCAATAAAAATGTCTAATCCCCTTAATTTCTTAATATCATAGACTTTAAGACACAATAACACGCCAAATAAATACTAATTCAGAAGTCAAACCACAAAAATCAGCGTTATATTTTCAAAATTTTCACAGGTCTAGTTTCGATGGTTTTACTGAACCACCATCCTCAGCTGCAAAACCGCAAATGAACAAGATAGGAAATAATGATTAGATAAGATAAGAAAGACTGGACAAGAATAAGCAAGTGGCGTCATCTGTTGATGAAACCAGAACTAAAACATAATTTCTTTAAAGGCCGAAGGCAAAGATGGATGGGAATTAGGATCGTTAACTAGAACAGAAGGATTTTTTTGAATGTGAAATGCCTCTAGAAAATCCAGTTCTCCAATGGAAGATGTTTTCTGAATAATTTTGGCAGCAGAAAAATTGAAAGTGTGATTTTCGGACCAACAATGTTGAGCAACAGAAGACGTCTGTGTTTCCTTTTTCCTAACATATGCCTCATGCTTCTTGACACGAAATTTTAAGGGTCTCTTAGTTTGGCCAATGTAAATTAAACCACACTGGCAAGGAATCCAATAAATACACCGAGAATTCATATCCGGAATGGGGTCCTGGAGTAATAAAATTGGGGATCAATTTTATTACATTAAGTAAAATGTCAAGATGTTTCAGGAATTTTTGCCGTTTCAGGCCTAATTTAGTGAAACAGTGCCGTTTCAGGCGTAATTTAGTGAAACGATTAACGGATCATCAGTTAATCGTTTCACTAAATTACGCCTGAAACGGCAAAAATTCCTGAATCATCTTGACATTTTACTTAAATGTAATGTAAAAATTTATCCCAATTTTATTCAATCATCAACTCTAATCAAAAACCTTCCAGTCGCGTTTCAAGAATTCTGTTAAATTGCAAGCTTGCCTTACCTCGGTCCATCATAAGGGATACACGTCAAAAATTTTCCAAAATTGAACATGAACTCTGTAAGCTTCATCTGGAACTCGCTAACTCATATCCAAAATTCAGTGCCCTTGAACAAAAGTCTTGGTCTAGAACGGAGAATGCAGTTAACCGTCATAAAAACACCCTTGCAGTTAAACTCGAAAAACTTCTTTTACACTCTTCCAGTTCAAGTAGTTCAAAAAATCTTCCCATTGTAAACACCAAGCCAATAGTTAATATTTTTAATGTTAGTCTTTCAGAAGAACAAGAGAGAATTCTAAAATATAATTTTAACTTCTCACAAACCTGTAAACCCTCGATTCCAAAGGTTTTGGCTCCTATCGGAAAAGCTTTCAAGTTCAGTAAAGTTTCAGATTCACAGAAAGAAATGATTAGGCATCTTATCGCTCATAATGTGAAATTCAATAATAAACCTTTGAAACCAAACCTAACTGCGAGAGAAAGAGCTACAATGCGCGAAATTCATTCTAACCCGGATATTATCATTTCAAAGGCCGACAAAGGTGGCCAGATAGTCGTCACGGATAAGAACACTTACATCGATGGTGTCACTAAACTCTTAAGCGAAGGACCATATAATCCGATCCCTAAAGATCCTTCACCTTTGGTCTTGTCAAAAATAAAAACTGCGATAAAATCTTCACAAATCATTTTAAGCAACTTAAAACATTCGCTTATCTCATCTGTTGCGAATTGTGCCAAATTTATATGCTCTTCCCCAATTTCATAAAAGTGGTATTCCTTTCCGCCCTATTGTATCAAATTTAGGTACTGCCTCGTATCCATTAGCTAAATATTTAGTTTCTAGATTTTCAACTCTATTAGACAATAACATTTACACCATAAAATATTCAATAGAGTTTGTAAAAAAGGTTAAAATCATTTCTCCTAGAAATTTACTCATGGTTTCTTTTGATGTAAAATCATTATTCACCAATGTTCCAGTGGAGGGTGCATTAAGATGTCTAGAAACCAGACTTCGCAAATTTCATTTCTCTTGCATTTAAATTGATGAGCTAATTTCTCTCACTCAACTCTGTTTGAAACAAACACATTTTGTTTTCCAAAATAAATATTACAAGCAAACTTAGGCATTAGCCATGGGAAGCCCCCTCAGTCCCATCCTGGCTGATATCTACATGCATTATTATGAATCAAAATTGTTTGAAACCTTAAACTTCCCGGCATGGTTCCGCTACGTAGACGATACATTTACGCTGTCTGAAGGTAATAAAGATGATTTAAATAAAGTTCTTTCAAAAATGAATTCTATTGATCGTGCTATTCAGTTCACTTTTGAACTTGAGACTTGCAATTCTCTTCCGTTTCTCGACTTTCTGGTCACACGTAACACATCCAACTTCGGTACTACGGCTGCCATAAACCTTCATCGGTTTGCCTTCCACCACACTTTAAATCATGTCATCCGACTAAACAAAAGTTAGTTTCATTTTATTCCTATATTTTCCGTGCTCTTCAAGTTTGCTCCTCCAAACTCCCTTGATGAAGAACTAAATTATTTAAAAGCAATAGCTATTGACAGGGGCTTTTCACCCAACATTATTAATCAAGCAGTTAAAAAATTCTCATCTCAACACACTAAAAGACAGACTCTTGTTTTAGAAGATTATAAAAATTCTGTTGCCATTCCCTTCTTTCCATCAATTAGCTATAAAGTTGCACATATTTTGCAGAAATTTAACTTTCGGGTCGTTTATTCTCCCATCAATAAATTTCCGAGTTCCATACTCAAGGACCCCATTCCGGATATGAATTCTTGGGGTATTTATAGGATTCCTTGCCAGTGTGGTTTAATTTACATTGGCCAAACTAAGAGAGCCTTAAAAGTCGCGTCAAGGAATATGAGGCATATGTTAGAAAAAAGGAAACACAGAAGTCTTCTGTCGCTCAACATTGTTGGTCCGAAAATCACACTTTCAATTTTTCTACTGCCAAAATTATTCAAAAAACATCTTCCATTGGAAAACTGGATTTTCTAGAGGCATTTCACATTCAAAAAAAATCTTTCTGTTCTTGTTAACGATCCTAATTCCAATCCATCTTTGCCTTCGGTTTTTAAAGAAATTATGTTTTAGTTCTAGTTTCACCAACAGATGGCGCCACTTGATTATTCTTGTCCAGGCTTTCTTATCTTATCTAATCATTATTTCCTATCTTGTTCATTTGCGGTTTTGCAGCTAAGGATAAAAAACTTTTATGGATTCGATTCGATGGATTTACTTTCGGTAAAACCATCGAAACTAGTCCTGTAAAAATTTTGAAAATATAACGCTGATTTTTGTTGTTTGACTCCTGAATTAGTATCATAGACTTTTTTGCCTTCAATACTTCGTTTGCATTCAACTTGAAAAAGTGGAAGTGTCAATGTATTGCCGTCTTTACTGTCGTCAGTTGTCGAACTTTAAGGACAGGAATTCCATTTTGCTGCAGTTCCTGCTTTATTAATTCAGTATTTGAATTCTTGGGAAATTTTTTGATAATCGCTTTTAATGGCTTTTCATGATTTGGTTTAAAACTGTGGCATTGGATTCCACGCTGTTGCAGTAAGCTTGTGATAAATCTAAAATGATCAGAGTCATAGACTCTAATAGTTAAAGTTTCTGCTTTCATATTTCCTAAGTAATGGGTGATACCGTTACTTTCGATTTCAGCTTTTAGCTCATCCCAGTCCCCGGTGAAATCATCGAGAACAATAGGAAGAACATGTTGTTTTTTAATTTGAGAATTCTGAGTGTCTGGAGTTTCTTTTTCCATTTGGATCATCATTATTTAAGGTGGAGAATTTGTTAGCTTGAGGGGCTTCTTTTGGAGAGTTGTCCGTATTGGACGTTTTACAGAGTTACGAGGGGAAATAAAACTTTCGCTATCTGTGACACTACGTTTTTTCTTAGTTTTTTTATGTCTTTGAAGTTGAGGGAATATTTTTATCATCTTTTTCATCCTTACTATTTTCAGCGATGGATTTGGAAGATTCATTTGTGTTTTTAGTTTTCTTTTCAAGTTCTTTAAGTAAAATTTCAAAATATTCAATTTCTTTTTTGAAATTTGCTTTTTCACGAAGACTCTCTTCGAAATTATCCCTAGTTCTTAACGCACTTGTGAACTTAGTGAGGCGATCCATTTTTAAATTATAGATCCTTTTCCTAATGGCCTCAGTGGACGGTGAAGGAGTCTTGAATAAATCCGTGACATTTTCCTCCCTGTTGGGAACCCTAGATTAAACCAAGCAAACGCTAGATGACAGAATACTCACCAGAATTCAAGATGATCGGATCCATAGTAGAGCAATCAGCCTCTACGCAGCTTTCATATTAAAACTCCTTCAATTTTTAACTATGTCTTATCACTTAGTAAGAGGCAATTGACCATTAACGGCCTTTACCAATATATTATACTTGACTTTTAAATGCGTGAAGAATCGAATAAGTTGTATCCAATAATATAGAAGTATTTGTGTACAGAATGTGCTAGAACTCAGAGATTACTAGCGACGGAGGCTCCTGTGCCTTTACGTAGAATAAGTAAACTTTGAACAAATGAGGCGCTCGTGTGACGCCATCTATTAGTAGGGAGAAAAAGCATTTAGTTGACTAGATCTCTGGTGGCGCTATCTCTTGCAGAATGTATTGTAAGGCATTTTTAAAGTTTCATAAAAATTATTATTCTTTCATGTTTTAGCTCAGAATGCACAAAATTTATATCATCTTAAGAATTATCTAATCGTTGCTACATGTTCTATTCAAATACTATAATAAATCTAAAACGATGTATAAAATAAATTAAGCAAAGAACAACAACAACAAAAAAGAAACAGTTTTTCACAGGTGATTCAGTATTTCTTATTAAATTAATTCAGTTCTCACTTCGCGACAAGGCAAAAATATATTAAAACTCAAGATGTCTGTATTGAAAATTATGAAGTAAATCTTAAACATTTATTTCCTCGAATTAATTCCAGAATGGATTAAGCATGATTTAATTCGCAATAATAAAAGAAGGCGTTATCTTTGTTATTGCGAAGCTTACTTTCTCTAGATTGACAACAAATCTACGATTCTGCTGTTTCAAATGTAAACAAGCAATGGCCGCCATGGAAAAAATTATTAGGCTTAGCGGCACTTAAACAACTTTTAAATTGTTAATAATTCTAAAATTTGCGCGATTATTCATAAACTTAATGGAATACCTATCAATTTTAAGCAAAACAATTTACAAATAAATAACAAAAATTTGATAAGAAAGTCAATATTATTTTCTTTGGCAAACAAACGTAACTATTTTACGTAGTAGGATTTGAGTATCCCTGCACCCCGGAAGTGCCGTCGTCCTTCAAAAGTACTTGGATGTAGTAGTAGGCGGTAATGTAGGCGAGACTGTTTGTCATATACTATGTTTTTCTAAAATAGTGCGTTTAATGAAGTGAGGGAAGAAAAAGGTTAAATGAAGGATGAGAGGCTTGTAAAAAAAAAAAAAAAAAAAAAAAAAAAAAGGGGGGAAATGATTTAATTAAAATTCACGAGTCGAATGTAATATGCGCATTTGAAAGGGTTGGTTTCAGTTGAGTGGGCTGGGATAATATTCTGCATTGCTAAATTAGGAACGAGATGGTCGCTTTTCCTTGAGAAAGGTTAGATCAAGGTTAAGATTTTGAGGGGGAGGTGAAAGTAGTATTTGATGAAATACGTGTTTTGAAAGCGTAAACATCCTGTAAGCGCACAAGGCGAGACTTGTGAAACTTTCACTTGATCATTACATTTCGAAGCGGTGAGGTTGGTGCTATCATCCTCCATAAGGATTACAATGGAAGCTCGTAATGGTGAGTGAAACGTAAGGTTTTTTTTTTTTTTTTTTTTTTGTGTGTTATTGTTCTTTTATTGTTAAATACTTTCTGCGATAAATGTTAAGCATAAAATTATAATTAAAATTAGTTTATTTTAGAACGCAAACGTAGATGTGTTGACACGTTGGGGGATGTGCAGCCGTCGGAAGATCTTATTTTAAACCTTGCTCCCGAGGAAGGCGAAACCTCCCGCAAAAAACTCAAAAAAATTAAAATATACATTGGAAAAAATGTTTCAATAGAAACTTGTGACTTCAAAAATGTCAATTATGTTTCATTTGTAAGGGTGTATCCCGAAACCGCCGCCACCCCCCCAAAAGATTTAATATAAATATGAATTGTATTGATCGTATAATCGAAGCTTTGGGGGTGATTAAGAGCCACTGTATGTAAAAAAAAAAAAAAAAAAATAAAAAAAAAAAAAAGATATCAAAATGCTGATTTTGCTGGAAAGCGGTAGTGGAAGTTAGTAAATTAATATGAATTTTATATAATATTGTAAACAAAAAAGTTCCATTATTTATTTATTTATTTTTTTTTTCAAATGATGAATTTTATTCAGTTAGCGCAAGCCCACCGAGGCTATTTGCGCACTTTAAGAACAACATTCGATGCTTCTCAGAAAGATCCGTATGAGATATTCAGAACGGCACGCCCTGCCATATACAACATTTTAAATACTAGATCGAGTTTAAGACTCAGGATTTTAATATGTTTGAAAATATGTTTTGAGAAACTGGGGAAAGATGAAAAAGAAATTAATCAGTGTTTTTATTTTTGTTCTCATTGCGAAAGGATTTTATCCTCTAACCAAATCTACGAAAGCATTGACAGATGCTTTAAAAAGATTTTAAATTTGATAGATAATTTTGTGCGTAATGGAAGCGGGTGGAAAATAAAAAAGTTAGAGTACCTTGACTTACACGTTGGAAACTATCGGGAAAATCGCGGTGGTTGTAAAAACATCGCTTTACCGACGGGATTAAAAAATAGAAAAGCGTTGTTAAATATCAAATGTGGTGACGACAATTGTTTTTTATATTCTGTTGCCGCAAGTGTTTTTCCGAAATCCACTAGAAATCCTCAGAAGGCTTACTTGTATAAAAAGGATATATCACGTTTTAAATTAGGATCCCTCAAATTTCCCTTAGCGTTAGGCGATGTAAAAATGTTTGAAAACCTGAACGATGTATCCATAAACGTGTATGGATATGAGGAAAATGAAATATTACCTTTGCAATTAAGTGAAAAGCGAAATGCGACAAAAACAGTAGATTTGCTATATTTTCAAAAACATTTCTTTTGTATTCGAAATTTTAATCGTCTATTACACGCAAACGAAAAACGAGTAAATTTTTTTTGTAAAACTTGTTTAAGTGGGTTTCAGAGAAGGGAAACGTTAGAGTATCACAAAACTCTTTGCAATGAAAACAAACCGCAGAAAGTTAGCATTCCTAAAAACACACTTCTTAAATTTACAAATTTAATGAAAATGCATTATCATCCTTTTTGTGTCTTTACCGATTTTGAATGCCTCACGCGCAAGATTCAAACTGCGTTTCCTTCTCCGCAACAGAGTCATACTACCCCAATTGAACAGCATATTCCTATTAGTTATACCCTAATAGTTACTGACGTGGAAGACAAGATTATTTTTCATGAATATTTTTGCGGAGAGAATGTAATGGAACATTTTTTCACAACGTTGAGTTGAGCGAAATCAAATCTAAAATTTTGCAAAAGATGAAAGAGTGTTTACCGATGCAGGAGACGTCGGAAAAAAGTTACGATTCAAATATATGTCATATATGTTTGAATCCTTTCTTAGAAGGCGATGTTCGGGTCAGAGATCACTGCCACTGGAGTGATGGGCATGTGAGAGGTCTTGCACATCGCTCCTGTAATTTGAATTTTAAAGTGTCAAACTACATTCCGGTGGTAATTCATAATTTCAGGAATTATGATAGTCACCTGTTACTAAAACACATGCCGAAAATGTATGCAAATAAAGTTAACATTATTCCGGTGAATTTGGAAAAATTCACCATGTTTACACTAGATGAAATGAAATTTATTGATTCGTTTCAATTTTTAGATGCGTCTTTGGACACTTTGGTGTCGAATTTGAAAACGTCACAACATGAATTTAAATTGTTTAATGCATTTTTTGAGAAAAATCCCCAACGAGAATTGTTATTGCGGAAAGGCGTATTTCCTTACTCATATTTTGCGTCAACATCGGTGTTGGATGAAACTTCGCTTCCACCGCAGAGCGCGTTTAATAATGTATTACAAGGAGAAGCAGTTTCCGACGAAGATTATGCACATGCCACACACGTGTTTCATTCGTTTGGATGTAACACTTTTGCCGATTACTTAGAGTTATATCAAAATACAGATGTTATTTTGCTAGCCGAAGTATTTTTATCCTTCAGACGCACCGCTCTAAAATATTACCAGTTGGATCCTGTACATTTTATAACGGCTGCCGAATTAACGTGGAATGCCGGACTGAAAGCGTCTAAAATTGAATTAGAGCTTCTAGGAGATGTGAATCAATACATTTGGTTTGAAAACCAAATGCGAGGAGGTATTTGTTTTCTGGGTAGACGTTATGCTCTTGCAAATAATCCTTATATCCCCGAGAGTTATAAACCCGATTTACCACACACCTATATCTTAGCCTTAGACGCAAATAATCTATACGGGTGTGTAATGAGCCAGCACCTGCCATTGGGAGGTTTTTACTGGTTAAAGGAAAATGAGGTGGAGGCGTTTGATATTTTGTCTTGTGTTGAAGACGGTGATGTGGGGTATATTATCGAATCCGATCTGTTATATCCCTCCCATCTGCATGACCAACACAATGATTTACCGCTAGCACCGGAACATTTTGAACTCACTTTTGACATGCTATCGCCTTATGCCAAAACCCTGAGCAAAAAATTTCAGTTAGAGACGACACTTCCATGCAAAAAATTATTACCCAATTTTTTTGAAAAAAAAATTACATCGCTCATTATTTAAATCTAAAGTTTTACGTAGAACAGGGTTTAATAATTAAGAAAATTCATAGAATTTTAGCTTTCAAACAACGAGCGTGGCTTAAAGAATACATTGCTTTCAATAATATGAAAAGACAAAATGCGTCTAGCGAATTTGAAAAATCTTTCTTTAAAAAGATGAATAACGCTTTCTATGGAAAAACCTGTCAAAATGTTAGGAAACGTATTCGCGTACAGGGCGTTTTTAGTGAGGAACAATGCCAAAAAAAATTAAACAGTCCTCTGCTGGAATATTTTGAAATAATTAATGAAAATTTTTCAGTTTTCAAAATGAAAAATCCAAATTTGTGTCTAGATAAACCGATTTATATAGGTTTCAGCGTTTTAGAATTAGCGAAGTTGCACATGTATAAATTATTCTATTCCCATTTTAAACACTTTTACAAAGAAAAATGCGAGTTGTTATACACAGATACAGATTCTTTGTATCTCTATATAACAACTGAAGATGTATATAGTGATTTAAAAACGAATTTTTTAAATATTTTGGATTGCAGTAATTTCGAACCCAATCATATAATGTTTAATGAAGAGAACCGTGGAAAACTGGGATTTCTAAAAAGTGAGACACTCACCCCCATATCGGAATTTGTGGGTTTGAAATGCAAAATGTACGCATTTCGTTTCGGTGATACTGTTAAAAAGACCGCGAAAGGAATCAAAAGGAGCGCGCTCAAAAACATTGGATTTGAAACGTATAAAAACGTTTTCGAAAATGCTTCCCTGATTAGGAATTCTCAATATTCAATCATTTCAAAAAAGCACGAACTGCAAACGATTTTTCAAAATAAAGCTAGCCTCTCGGGATATTATGACAAAAAATATTTGTTAGATGATGGAATTCAATCATTGTCTTATGGTCACTATAACACGCGTGAAGAAGACATGAATTAAAAAAAAATGATGGAACTTTTTTGTAACATTTTATTGTAGAGTGTGACATTGTATTTTTGCAACTTATATTTTTTTATGCTAATGATCGACAAAAACAAAAAATGTGTTTCCCTCCCATAGAATACCCAGAAGATATGGCTTTATTTCAACCAATTTCTTTGCAAGATATGTGTATTCAAACTATTTTATCTTCGATATTATGTATAGCTGAACTGTATAATGTAGAACTGAATATTCCTCGTATGATTTTAAGAGATATAATAGAGAAAGGTCGATTCTGGATTGATTTTGAAAGTAGTTTCTCCTTAGAGAACAGAGATGTATTTTGGGATGAAAGTTTAACTCTCTATGAAAGAATTCGATTTAATAAGTGGTTTTCTAAACAATTTATTGCCTGGTTTTTCTTTGATGATGATGTTATATTTCTTTTACACCTAAAGATTGCACATATCACATTTGTAAAACATGTAATTGTTCAAAATAATGAGTCTAATATTTATTTGAAAAGCTGCAACAAATGTTTAGAATTGTGGTTACGATGTCAAACAGACACTACCAGAACGAAATGTAAAATTTTCAGAAAATTCAATCATTTCTTATGTTATAATGAAAGGGATACCCTTTCTTATATGCGAAATGAAGATAACTGGTGTGAGATATGTAAGCAAAGTCCTCTGTATTTCATTTGCGACGAGAATTCATGTTGCATTTCTTTTGGAAACTTGATACACGAATGTCCCCGAATTAACCATGATCACTGTTATAATAATTGCTATGGAGGTTATGTAGAAAACTTTTCTTTTAACTGTCGAATATGAACAAAAATACTGATACATTATGGCAATATTCTGATTAATCATTTTTATTTTATAAACACCCCCTCCATGTATGTTTCGACGAAAAAGAGGGGGGAGGGAAAGAAATTTTTGTTGATATTTAATGATTCCATTTATGTTTGTAATAATGTGAAATGTACTTTTTGTTTCATTTGATTACTTATTGTATTATCAATATAACATCTCACATGGTATAATGAAAATAATGGGTTAGTTCCCATATTGGATTTACATCGAAAAATCGTTTTGATTTTTTTTAAATGTTCATTTTAATTTTTGATACCTTTGTATATTTTACAACAGTAATATGTTTTTTTGTTTCATTTGATTTTTTCATTGTATCATGCATACAAGAATGATTATTTTGTATTAAGCTTCTGTAATCCTTTAGAAAAAAAAATAAAAAAATGGACCTTATCCAAGAGGTCCGGTTTTAGTATCTTCTTGGAGGAATTTACATTTTATTAATTTCTTCAAGGCAGATGCTTTTACCGGAAAACAAAACAGTGGAATAGAAAAAGGCAGCTCATAAATAAGTGTAAAAATGTATTATTTATCTATATATCTGATATTTTTTTTTCAGAGACAAAAAAAAATTGCATTTGAAAGAAAAAAAATCCTTTTTATTGATCAAATTGTTTGTGTTACACACAAGTGCGATGTAATTCTCGCACAATAGCATCATCATTCAGAATAACAAAGTAAGCAATTTTAATTACATAGCTTTCATCTCTTATACATTCACTTTCATATTCAGTTTTTTTCGAAGAAACACAATCCAACATGCTATATATAATTTACTACATGCCGAAAAAAGAGCTATTTGTTCATTTTGAATGTATAAGTAGCAATATCCATATTGTTGTTGTGGTTGATGGTCAGCTTTATGAATATGCTTGACCACTTCGGCATTCTTCAAAATTTTCAGGTAATGACGATTTCCTTTCCCGCTAGTGTTTTCATCGTAAAGAGCATTACGAATGCAGTCGCTTAGGTTTTTAAAGAAAAAATGATTAATTTTTTCAACGTGTACTTCTTCAACAGGACTGTTTTCGGAGTTTCCAGTGTGCAAATAGCCGTAACGTTCCATCGTCGACTTCTGAAGCGTTAGTGATGTTTTGCAGGAATAACACGCATATTTATCAAAGACACACAATTTTGTTTCTTGGCATGAAAAGCATGACAACAGCGGCGACGTTTGAATTTTTTTTTTTTTAAAAAATTCCCTAATAAAAATTTCATTTTTTTTCTTATCTTTCGTGCAGAGGTCCTTCAAAGAGTACCCTCTTACCATACAAAATAAAAAATAAAGAGCAAATTTTCCGCAGGATGTACTGGTATCATCTTGAAAGCATATTTTATTATAAAATGTTTTGTTAGCGTTGGTCATTAAAAAGTTTAAAATATTTTTGTTAGATGGAGCAAGACCATAACTGTCGAAGTAATATGCCGTGCTGTTTTTCTTAAAATATATCGAAATCCAGTGGCTCCCAGGTAAAGTATGCGGATCCGAATTCACTATAAATGAGGAGTAATGTCTCTTTCGTAAGGGTATGAAATCGGAAGGATATACACCTCCAAATGTTTTTTTGATTCGACTGTCGCCACAGGCATATTGACACAGAGTTAAAGTATCCATTACCGCCTTTGTTCGAAATGAATATTTCTGTATATGCTTTTAAACACTTCTTCGTACACTTGATGTTTCTTTGATGGGAAAATTTCAATAATTTTTTCGGCAAAAGCGAGAAAGAATGCAATGCGCAGGTTCGCTATTTTATTGGAAAACATCATATCGCCTATACTTCGAATTACCTCCTCGCCTGCACCCGCCTCCTTAGCTAGTTCGATAATTTCATTTCCGTATATTTGCAAAACTTCGTCCATGATTTTTAATAATCTGTCGTGACTCCGCGTGACTTGTCTATTTCAATTATGTTCCTGTATTCAGCATAGACTATCAGGGTAACTGTTTCTGGCAAGGCCGCTGCAAATTTGATATCAATGGCTATGTTTCCGCTCTTATTTATGCTTACGTGGCTTTCATTAGATGCCATATCTGGAGTCAAATCAACGGCATATAATGTATACCCATCTTTGTATTCATCAAAGGAGATATTAATGTTGGGGCTTGAATGATATCGATTTAAATCTGTAAAGATGCTTAAATAACTTCGCCCATAAAATGTTTTTTTCGAAATTGGGCTGATAGGGTTTGGAAGGTATCATCTGTCCCCCATTTAATATGCATAGGTAGTTTAGGTTATAGTGATGAAATTTAAAAGGATTTCTGTTGATGCTTCCATTATAGGCGGCATTAGATACAAAACCTAGAATGAGACGTGTGGGTAGCTGACCAATAAAAGCGTTTGCTATAGTTGTCGATTGCAAACCGCTCGATATTGCAAAACTTTTTATGTCAATCCTACGAATGGGCATCTTAATAACTCCTTTTTCTAAAGCCTTTTCGTGTGCTATTAGGATGGAGGGAGCCACGCTGACTTTTCTCACGTATAGTTTTGCTAGCTGAATTCTAATTTTATAATTGTCGTTTGCCGACATCAAAGTGAAAACATCTTTATGCCTTTCCAGTTTAATGCGTACATTAACCCCGTTGACTAACAATTTCGGTTGAGTGGCCAAATCGAAGTGCAATGGTCCCACGAGGTCGAGGCTTTGGCTAAGCTTGCAACGATTTGCACGCGTTGTATAACCTTCGTTTTCGTCTCCCACAACATCATGCTTAGATGCAGTATCTTTTGCAAATAAGCCAGCACTCAGTAGATTATCTTGACCTGATTTGGAATAGAACAACAAACTTTCCAAAAGGGCTCTATAAGAATAATTCACTTGTGACGAAACCTGTTTATCATTTAAAAATATTGAACACTCGGGAAAACAATGTGTTTAAAATATAATTAACAGGTGCCACCCCGTCGGCGTCGGTGAGATTGGTATCGTTTTTTTTTTCGTTATTTTAAGTCGTGTGTGTAGTATCGTATGCGCCAAATCCAAATAGTGTTCACCATTACCGCTAATGTAAAATTCTATGGGCGTCTTATCAGACAATGAAGATACGGGGTGGATTTCCACGAAGGAAGAGGAATCGATCGATGCCCAGTTGTACGGCGACACCATTAAAGAGATCCAATTCGCTCTTAAGGCATATAACCCCCTGAGTTTCCATTACTATTAATCTTTATGTAAAAATATCTGCTTTTGTCTTACAACGCTTGCTCTTTGATTGACGATTTTTCCTCTTGCGCTTTCTTTTTATACCTTCTCCCCTCTGTAATTTTTCAAAAATATCACTTTTTATTTTATTAGAGGTCTCACGTAACCTGCTCCGAGCAGAGTCCTTAAATGACGATCCCGCTGCAACATCTGACAAGACGTTCTTTCCTGTTTGCATCAACTGTTTGCCCAAATAACGACCGGCTCTAAGTGCCAACGGCGTAATGTATCGGCGCAAATCTCCAAAAAACCCATAACCTCGTTGGTGAGGTATACCTTGAAAGTAAACACCACCGCCACCACCAACTTGAGCACAATAATAGGATTCGCACTCTTTCTGATTTAAGTGCATTTCTCTAAGGATGTTTTAAGAAAGTGAGAGGAAAGCTTGAAAAATCTTCAATTTATATAGTTTTCTTACGGCGAAAAGACAGGACTACAAATGTTTTTCCTCCCGTAAAGGTAATTTTTTTCCCGCTACTCGTTCTCAGTTCTATTTCTATCGTTTCCACATAGTGCTTTCGCAAAGGAAAATATATAGTTTTTTCATAATGCTTCACAATTTGATCATTTTTTTCATTCACGCAGGGAATAACCCTTAGCAGCGGAACATGCACATCTCCAACGTGATGTGATTCGATTAAATCGCTGTACACAAAAATTTCTGTAATGCCCCCGTCCAGTTCTAAAGGATAGTCGCTTATATATTTTCCGCTCTTGAAATGGGTGTTGACGAATCCCAGCATGTCTGCCAGCCCTTTCCCAAATGCCAGCTCCGATTCTGGAGGAACTTCTAAAAACACTTTTGAATTCGCTAATTGTCTTAAATGTACGTGTTGAAATTCGCGAAATAAAGTTTCCGGTGATTTATATACGCCTGCGCTGACATGCAAATGTAAAGTTTCTTTTTCAGTCATAGTTACTTCGGGATATCCTTTAATTATAAGTTCCACAGCTTCCCCCTCCTCCACAGTTAGGGGCAAAAGCACAGGAAACTTTCGCGTTTGCGAAATTATAAGGTTTTCGCGGACGCCGAGTATCCTTAAAAGGGAGGATGCTCTTTCTTGAGTAATATGCAGCTCCGTGTTTTCTGACACCTTTATTTCTAGTTGGGACTTCGTCTGATCGTAGGTGAAAGTGACAAAATTTTCCAATTTAAGATCTTGGATATTTTTTGCTACGTCGCCAAAGAGACCCCTAGATACATCTGCTTTTATTAAGGTTAACGGAATCAAATGCAGTTTCGTGCTAGAAGGGCTCCTATTTATGATTGAAAATAACTGATCTTTATTTTCAGCTATTGATCTGAATCTCATCACTTGAGATTTTTTAATAATAGTATCTTCATCTGGTAAGTAAAACATCTGTAACATTTTAGGAGCTTTTCTTTTAGAAATGTGTACTTCGAAACCATTTGCAAGAACCCAGCGAATACTCCTCCCTTCATGTTCTAGAACGAATTTCACAGCGTCCTCTCTACCGAGAATGGTACTAATTTTATCATTCAGTTTTGATAAAAATTCCTCTAGAGAAACATCTGCGTTTACCGAAACTAAAACGCCATAATTAAATGATAAAGTATGGCGTGAAAATTTAATAGGAATGCTTTTCTCCACATTCCTAGTTATTACATAGTCATTATTATACTCTCCCACATTATACCAATTTCGTGGAATAAAAATTTCAGTTAGACCTACTTCCCAAGAATCGTTCAATAACAGAGGAGAGGCGAGTTTTGTTCGATAAGATGATTGATTGTTTTGAGGGAAATACTGCATGCTCGCATTGCTGGGTAGAGTAACGTAGAATTCGTCTGTCATTTCATCCATGACGCTTTCACCCACGAATTAAACCGTCGATCAAAGCCTTTCCACTTGACGAAATATTCTTTCTTAGCACCGACACCTCTCGTTTGCAGAATTTTTTTCCACTCTCCAGAAATCGTGAGAACTCTTTAATACTTTTTGTAACTAACTCTTGTTCGTAAAACCTTCCTTTCAGAACTGTTCCTTTTAAATCTTTAAGCAGATATGTCGGAGGACTCGAAGGATATCTCTTATATATGACAAAAACCTCATCCGTCCAACTGGGCAAATAACCTTTGCGAAATGCTCGCCTTGTTTTAGAAATCCTCACCTGGTCATTTACCTCAAATTTGTATCTCGGTTTTATGCTATAGCCATACAGTTTTTCAAAAA